CCCCCCCCCAATAAACAAATAAACATTGTACATTTACTTTCGTGACTATTGTCTGACTGGATTCTTGAAACAACCTTGGGGAAGACACCGCGGTCCCCCTCTCCAGCTGCACCCAGGTACTCAGACTTCCTCACCCCTCGGGTTGACCTTCTGTGGCCCCAGCTTAGCCCCTGAGAGCCCAGAGCAGAGCACCCGGGGCAGGCCTCCTGGGAGTGGCTGCATTCCCGTGCCCCCATCTGGAGATGGAACCCTGGTCTGCACTCGGCTGCATCCAGGCTTTGTGGTTCTACCTGTCGCCTCTTCCTTGCAGAAAAGGACGGATGATGCGGCCTTTCAGAGACTGATGAGCAACTTGGACAGCAACAAGGACAATGAAGTGGACTTCCAGGAGTACTGTGTCTTCCTGTCCTGTGTCGCCATGATGTGCAACGAGTTCTTTGAAGGCTTCCCGGATAAGCAGCCCCGGAAGAAGTGAATGCCCGTCATGCGGGTGGGGGGCCTGCCAGCTGGGGTCTCGCCTGTTGGCAGTGGCCACAGGGCCTCACCCTGGCTCCAGCAGGTGTGTGCACGATGTGGATAAGTTCAATAAAGATTCTTGGAAGCTTTGAGGCTGACGGTCTGAGACTCTGAGTATGGGTGGGAGTTGAGGGGCATGTGGGGGTGGGGAGCCCTGGCTGTTGGCAGCTGTTTTGTGCGGAGCCAACTAGTGACGGAAGGAAGGGGTGAGTGGAAGGGCGTCCATGTGTATGTGTGCGTGATGGAATTGACTAAGGGGCCGAGGGCAAGGAAAAAACCCTCTAAGACTTGGAACACCCCGGCTGGGGGATCTTGACCAGCACACTGTCTCCTCCCACCCCAGCCTCACCTCTGGAGGGACTGAAGGTCACATCTGCTCCTGGCTGGGGTCTGGAATGGAGTTTGGGCATGCCTGGGTCGGGGGGCGGGGGGAGGGCTGAATCAGGGGGGCCCTGCCCTGCCAGGCCCTGCCACCCTTGGGAGGCCACACCATTGCAGCAGGCTGCGGATATCACCCTCTCAACCTTTGTTCCTGCCCCCAAAACCGTGGGCCGAGGGCTGTTATCACTTAGGATCCTGGTCCTTCAGAGAAGGACAGAGGGCCTCAAAGGGGCGACAGGAGGGTGGAAGTGAGGGGGTTGGGGGGTGACCATAATTTTGGAGATGAAATTCCAGACACGTGATCTGATAAATGAAATGGGAATTTTCCTTCCCCCAGAAAATATCCGTCATGATGTTCCTTCCCTTCGGATTAAAGGCTGGTGGGTAACTGACCCCACACTGCTGGCCGCCTGGGTGGTCTGGGGGCCTTTCAGAAGGAGGCGGATAAAGGTCGCGTCCAGCAACAGGGGATTTTGGTTTTCTCAACCTTTCAAGCTTCCCCTTCTCATTACATTATGTTTTTCTCTCAAGTGTCAGAGGAGAGGGGCAGGTGACTCAGATGTTCCCTGAGTGTGACTGCAGAGGCCCGGGTAGGATTTTGGTCCAGGAAGAAGCCTGCCTCCTCCCCTTCTGTCTCCCCCTGGCTGCCGTCTGCCCTCCGGGGAGCCTTCTCCTGCATCATCTCTCTGCTTCGGAAACTCCTGTTGCTCAGCGACCAGTCCCTGTG